CCCCCCCGCCCCCGGGATGCCCTCCCCGGCCCCGCCCGCACCGATCTGGCCCTGCTGGGCAGTGCCCTCGGTGACGCCGCGCACGAAGCTCCGGATCTCCGCGTCCTCCAGGCGCTCCCCGTCCCGCTTCTTGCGGATCAGGGTCGGGAGGGGGCTCGGGGGGTCCATCGCGGTCCCGCTGAGCTGGCGCCCCGGCTTGGGGACGGCTGGCACTCCGATTTGGGACGGCTGGCACTCCGATTTGGGACGGCTGGCACCGCGATACGGCACCGGTGACACCCCGATCTGGCACCGACGGCTCCCGGCCCCGCGCGGCCGCGCCCCGAACCCTCCCCGACCGCACCCCGTGTCCACACAGCTGCACCCCGGCACCCCCAGGGCCGCACCCCGGCACCCCCAGGGCCTCACCTCTGTCCCCCACAGCCTCACCTCTGTCCCCCCCAGGGCCGCACCCGCTTCCCGCACGGCCGCACCTCCCGCCGGCGCTGCCGGGACCTGCCCGTGCCAGGCCTGGCCCCGCGCCCGGTGCCCGCGGGCGACGACGCGGCTCCAGCGGTGGACTCTGATCCCGGGGCAGCGAGTGGGGCACGGGAGAGGCTGCGGGGGGTCACACGGGGGGGGTGACACGGGTGGGGCCCCCCGGGTCCCTCATTCCCCCTGGACAGTCACGGGTGATGCCCGAGGGCTCTGCTGGGGCACGACCTGCCAGGGACCCCCAACAGACCCCACAGACCCCACAGAACGAGGAGGGGAGGGGGGGAGTCCCCACGGCGCTGTGCTAATGAGGGTCCCCTCCCTCCCAGAGCCCCCCGTGCCCCGCGGTCACGGGTGGAATGGGAATGGGAGGAGGAGGGGGTCAGACGAGGATGGGAATGGGAGGAGGATGCGGTCAGATGGGGATGGGAATGGGAGGAGGATGCGGTCAGACGGGGATGGGAATGGGTGTGGAGAGGTGATGAGGATGGGGTTGGGAAGGGGAGGGCATGGGGTGGGATTGGGATGGGGAAGGGAGGGGCTGGAGCAGGGAGAGGGCGGGTACCCGTGTGGGCAGCACATCCCGCACATCCCGGCACATCCCGCCCCGCCGAGGGGCTCTGGGGTCCCACGGCCTCGCCAGCGTCTCCCCCGAGAGGGGAGGACTCGGGATGGGGAAAGGGCGGCTTTTAGGGGGGCCCGACACCCCCTGACACCCCCTCACACCCCAGCCCTCCTCCCCCCGTGCGGCGCAGCGGGACAGAAGGGGCGCGGGGGGGTTCTGCTGCTGCTGCTGCAGGGTCGTGTTTGTCCGTCTGTCGCAGGTGGGCTCTGCCACCCACACGTCCCCTAATCCATGGCGTCCATCATCACGGGGGCCCGGAATTCCGAGTGCTTCACCCCGAAGGTCACCCCTTGGCGCCGGACCTGCGGGGGGGACAGGGGCAGGGTGACGGGGGGGGGTGATGGTGGACTGTGGGTAACCCCGTCCCCCAGAACCGCCCCCCGCCCCCGGGGTCCCCGTCCCCGCTCACCTGCGGGGGGCTGTAGTCGCTGGGGCCGGGGGTGGCGGCGGCCTTGGGGGGTTCCGTGCGCCCCACGATGGTGCAGCGGGGGGAGCGCGGCAGGAACACGTCGCTCCTCACCGGGGCGTAGTGGCTGGGGCCGGGGGACTGCGGGGACGGGGGGGGAGTGACGTGAGCCCCGGACCCCTGGCACCGCACGCCCTTGGCACCCCAGAGTCAAGCAGCACCTCATACCCTTGGTATCGCAGCCCCCCGGACCCCCCATACCCTTGGTACCCCACATCCCTGGACCCACAGCACCCCACAGCCTTGGTATCCCAGATTCCCGGCCCTCCGGACCCCTGGCACCACACACCTTTGGTACCCCACATCCCTGGACCCACAGCACCCCACAGCCTCGGCATCCCAGACTCCCGGCCCTCTGGACCCCTGGGACCTCACACCCTTGGCACCCCA